CTTGATGTATAACAGTGAAAATTGGTATACAAGGGTTTTTTGGTACGACGAAACGAACCACGGGCATAGTTTTACTGTAGCCGCTAGACGGCGCTCTCTACTGTAATTTTTTCTTGGTGCAATTTTTTGCTTTTTGAATAAAAAAACTGATTGTTCGCACTTTTCAACATAAAAAAGCTCTCCTGTGAGTTTTCGTTATAGTTAGCCGTTTTTGAGATATTTCGATTTTTAAGGTTCGATGCATTTTTAATTATTTATGGGAAAATAATATTTTTTTTTACATTTTCGATTTGGGCATTACAAGTAATTAAGATGATCGTTTAAATTTTTAAACACAGCAATAATTCCTAACTCCAAATAAACACAAAAAACGGAATATTAATTTGTTTAATTTTCCAATATTATTTTTAACAAATTAAATTAATTATTTAAATAAAATGCTATTGGATAGTTAGGACAAACATACAAAATCTAAAGTAGTTGCTCGAAATGTAACCCCAATTGTTCAAAACACAATTCACATCTACCAATGATCGAACGTGGTATAGCACTATTCAAATAAGGCCTTATTTCATCACATGCATTCCTGATTCTGTCTATTAGCATATCTCTTGTGGTTATGGGAGTCTGGTACACTTTTTCTTTTACAAATCCCCACACAAAGAAATCTAATGGATTTAGGTCAGGGGATCGTGGAGGCCAGGCGACTGGTCCTCCACGGCCGATCCATCTTTTTGGATAATTTTCGTCCAGCCAGTTTCTAACTATTCTCGAATAATGAGCTGGACAACCATCAAGCTGGAACCAGGCCAATCTTCTTAAATCTAACATAACATCATCCCACATATTTGCATGTTCAGCTTTAAAAATTCCAAGAAGGCCGCAGCATTTAACCTTGCAGCCAAAAGGTAGGGTCCAAATAGTCGATTACGGCAGATACCAATCCACACGTTCACATGCTGAAAATTTCTTTCCCGAACTGCATGCGGATTTTCATGCGACCAATTATGTTGATTATGAAAATTCACCACTCCACGTCTAGTGAAGCATGACTCATCGGTCCATAAAACGTTACTTAAAAACTACCTATTATTATCAGTTCTATCAAGAATCCACTGACAAAATGTGATTCTTCGTTCTCCGTCCCCTGGCTGTAGTCCTTGTACAGGTTGCAAATGGTAAGGACGTCTATGGTCATTTCTAAGAACACGGTGAACATGGCTTGCTGAAATTCCAAAGGCACCAGAAACTCTCCTAACACTTGTGATCGGATCTCTATCAAACTCACGCAGAATCATACGGGTAAATCTGCACTGATGAACATTTATGTTTTGATCCCTTTGGAGATTTCCAAAACCATTTTCAATTATTTGGCGATGCACTCTTACAAATACTGAGCGAGTTGGATGTCGTCTGTTTGGAAATCTTCGTGCGTATTCTCTGGCTGCTTCTGCTGCGTTTCCATTTACAAAGTCATACACAAAATGAATATCCGCTAACTCTTGATTGGAGAATAAAAATGGCATTTTTATAAAACTTACAAAAAAAAACAGGTAAAAGAAACTAAATATTTGCAGGCACAGCCTACTTCTAAAAATTATCGAGATACTGGCTTTAACGTTATTTTATCATAAATAATTAAAAATGCATAGAAACTTAAAAATCGAAATATCTCAAAAACGGCTAACTATAATGAAAATTCACAAGAGAGCTTTTTTATGTTGAAAAGTGCGAAGAATCAGTTTTTTTATTCAAAAAGCAAAAGATTGCACTAAGAAAATGTTTTCGGTCATTTTTGTACACTACAGGTACAGTAGAGAGCGCCCTCTAGAGGCTATAGTAAAACTATGACCATGGTTCGTATCAAAAAACCCTTGTATACCAATTTTCACTGTTATACATCAAATATTGTTCGAAATATTTGAAAAAAACTATTTTAGAAAGTAATTTTAAACACCCTGTATTTCGGAAGACACGCATTTTTCGACCCATGTTTATATAGACTTTATGCATTAATTTTAAAAGTTCTATCGGATCTTAAAGTTATGCAACAATAAACTGAAACACCCTGTATATATGAATGAGCTATTTGCACTGGATGTGGACGGAGATGCAGTGAGTTTTGCTGACGATACGGCTATCATTTATTCATTTATTCTGATAATTCGTGGGAGTCCTTGCAATCAAATGTTATAAGCAATATTCAAAAAGTCACTAACTGGTCCAGTAATAGATTTCTAACAATCAACTTAAATAAAAAAACTCACTCCATGCCTTATAAATTATTCCGCTAATCAAAGTTTCACAATTAGGGTATACCTCGTTTGTCACCTTAAATGGTATAAACAAACGGATTACGTCCCAAAAAAGATTAGATATGTCCTGTCAAAGTTTAAATATCTTTCAAGAATATTTAATTTTGATCAACTACGTACCCTGCAGCCAGTCACATTCAGTACGAAAAGTAGAATTGGTACAAAAATGGATTTTAAAAATGATTTATAAAAAAAAGGCTACTGGATATCTGTCAGCAATTTTTTCTATCACTTGGCATTTTCCAGCATAAAGCTAGAACAACTTTAATAAAAGTACAACACAACTACAATACGAGAAATAGATCCATCATGATTCCTAATCCACAAAAAAAAACACTTTGCTCAGAAGTCATATCTTTTTATGCCCAAAGTTATATTATGAAATACCGGCTATAGTCAGAAAATCCAGTTCGTTAGGTATATTTAAAAGTAAACTAAAGGAATGGTCGCATGAAATTCCTAAAGTAAAAATACATCGACTAGTTGATCCTTGTAACACCTACTATTAGTGAAATGTGACATGTTCAAAAACATGTTTTTTTATACTCCGACCACCACGAAGGCCTAAGGCCTAAACACCCATGGGGTACCGTGAGGCTATAGGGGGAAAGGGGGAACGCCACACGGACTCTGGCGAGGGAACACGTGTACATGCAACATGCACACATTCTGTCCCCGCCTACGAGATCCGCCGGGTGGTACCTCCGCGTTCGACAGTCAGAGACCGTCTACCACCTACGGACAATCACAACATGCATAGTCAAGAGAAAAATTTCTCCTGGGACGGGATTCGAACCCGCACAGCGCACGGCGACTGATCAGGAGACCGAAGAGTCTAGTACTGCGGCCACCGCTGCTGCCTGGCATTTCCTTTATAAAAATAGTTTTTAACATTATAAGGTGTTATGGATTTTTTAATCATTGTAGATTTATGTATTAGATATAAACATGCCCATGCACAAGGCTGTGCCTTCTATGGGTTTTTTGTTTGGCAGTTTGCATATTTCTATAGGTTTTGTCATATTTTAAAGGCAATAAACCATACATCTCAAGTAAGTGCATTTGAAATGAGAAACCAGTGGAATTATCATCGATACAGATTATTAGCACACAAATCCTCACTATGCACCAATGCACTGCCGTTTCCATCCAGCTATAGTATAAAACTTATAGCTCAAAGTATGCCATGTAATGCAATGTCTCTGAAGCCGAAATTACATCACACACATCAGTCAAACATTGATAGCTGAAGCATCATGACATTTAGGCAATAGGTACAGCTACCGAACGAGTACACAAGTGTACAACAGCTAGTGCTAGGTTGACATATACAATGTCAAAAAAGAGACATATTGTCACTTTCCAAGATACGTAATACCCCTGCCGTAGGTTAAGGTCAACCTCAAATTATGTTTCTGTTGAAGCTCTCTAATCTCCAGCTCTCCATCTAACAACAGTGTATCTGTAGTAACTTTTTATGGAAAATACGTTAGTAACAAATTTGTTAGTAGGACTTGGTTGTATGTCACATTTTGGCTCAGTATTACAAAAAGCAATCCTAAGGCAAATGTCGCACGATCATTACTTAGTAATCAGCCAGTATTTATCATGAGATGTGATATTTACTGACCGTGAAGCCTTGAGGTCAGTAGTTATTCGTGTATAGAGTTACATAGAAATCCACTGACAAGAACGAATTCGAATAGATTAGAAAGAGCCAAGCCTATATATGAACATTGCATTGTTTGTCTCCAAAATTGCGTTGATTTAGTGCATACTTTTGACTCATTCGACTAACAGTGCCCATGAAAGTCTGAGCGGTGTATCAACACAATAACAGTACTCAGCGGTGGAAACATCTACCTTCATTGGACTTGTGCCACGCTTTATAAATTATGTAAGAAGCGCCATATCTTGAAATCGTCCAACACCACACTTATCTGCAATTAGTTTTAAAAAATAAGACTGATTCTTACTACACACTATTAGAATCAGGAGACTGGTAGTGGCGAATATGGTTAAGTATAGATATTCACGTATAGAATGTCACCAATTGGTATCAATATGCGAAATCTTTGAGAAAATGTCCTTTTGTCGAATAATGTTGTATTACGAATCCGTCCAAACATCCTATACATGGCAGATTTGTTTCTTCAGCTTCAACTTTTCTCCGATACTTATATCTATATTTCATGCATTCAATTGTAGTTTGATACGAACACACTGTATAAATATTGTTATTAGATACTGTTAGCAAATGTTAGGTCTTGCAAGTAATATAGGTCACTGGAAATGCTGCGGTAAGCAGAGCAATGACCGCAACTACCTTGCAATACCTAGCAACAAAGGATCAATCTGATTGAAGTAAATCATAATCGAATTAACCTCTTAAGTGGCTATGACGTATACGTATATATCCGGACTTCAAAGTACTAATCACAGTGACTATGACGGATATAATCGCGACCAGATTTTCCTTGGTGCCTTCAATGGCTATGCCGTATATAGTCGTATGCGATGGTTTCCAGCGTGGTCCAATGTTCTATGGATGCGCCGGTGCGAAAAAAACCGCGCTTTTTTGTCTGTCTTTGTCTTTCGTCATTATACCGCGAACCACGTGGCACGTGCTGTACTATTTATTTTCGTCTATAAATTCCTGTGTTTTGTTGTATGAAAATATTGAATATGTCGGCGTCGTGCTCTGAAATGGACTGTGATGATATCTCGGGTACTAATGAATATGACTTTACGAGTTCCGATGAATCCGAAAGCAGCTCAGAATACAGCGAAGATAGTGTTGAAAGTGAGGATGACGTACTGGAGGAAGAGATTGAAGTTGAAAGTGAACACGAGGATTTTAGTTTTGATATGCCTTGGACCGAAAATGGAATTCCCCGACCACCTTTTCCATTTACAGCGACCAGTGGCGTACAGGTAGATGATATTCCTGATGTGCTGGACGTTTTTGAGTCTTTTTTCGATGATGCACTAATAGAACTGATTGTAGAAGAGACAAATAGGTTTGCTCTTCAATTCATTATAAACAATCACGGAAAATTAAAAGAACAGTCCCGGGTAAGAAAATGGACACAAACAAATAAAAATGAAATTAGAACACTTCTAGGACTACTAATTTTACAAGGTATAAACCCTAAGCCAGAGTATAAAATGTATTTTTCCCGGAGACATAGCATTGAAACGCCATTTTTTCCAAAAGTTATGAGCGAAAGAAGATTCCACTTACTGATCAAATTTTTACACTTTGTTGATAACTCAACAATAAATGAAAATACAAAATGTCGAAAGCTTGCTAAAATTCTGCCAGTTTTAAATCATTTGAGGGGAAAATTTATGTCCACTTATTTACCGGAAAGAGACGTTTCAATAGATGAATCTTTGATAGGTTGGAAAGGCAGGCTAAGTTGGAAGCAATATATTCCATCAAAACGGAAGAGATTTGGAATGAAAATGTTTGCATTATGTGAAAGTTCTTCAGGATATATGTTCAATTTTATAATATACACTGGCTGTGACACTGACTATGGAGAAAAGTATTCTAATGAACCAGTAACTGCTAGGATAGTCCTCTCACTAATGGATCCCCTACTAGGAAAAGGTTATCGACTCTTTTTGGATAATTTCTATACAAGCGTCGACCTGGCTGATAAATTAGTAAAAAATAGAACCGATTGTGTAGGGACAATGAGATTAAATAGAAAAGGCGTGCCCACTGACATAAAAAAGAAACTTTCTAAGGGTGAGACTGTTGCTCGTTATAGAAAAAAAATTATGGTTCAAAAATAGCGAGATAAGAAAGACGTCCTAATGCTCAGCACAATACATGACGGAAGCATGGGAACTATTCAAAAAAGGACCGGCGATGTTGAAAAACCTCTATGTATTCTGGAGTACAACAGTAAAATGGGCGGAGTAGATCTAACTGATAACTACTTGCATTTTTATGGAACTACCAGAAGCAGAGTGAAAAAATTCTATATGAAGATATTTTGGCATTTTTTGAGTGTGACGACTCTGAATTCTGAATTCCTACCACAAATCTGGAGGAAAGCTAAAAAGGCTAAATTTCCTGATAGAACTTGGTGAAAAACTAGTAGAAAAATATAATCAATCAAATTCAAGACAAAAGAGAAGATCCAAAACTCCATTACCAACAAGATACAGTGAACGCCACTTTCCTTCAGTGATTCCACCCACTACAAAGCAGAAACCAACAAAAAGGTGAATTATATATTTTTTTGCTAATGATATAATTATACGAAAATTTATTGATTCCAGGTGTCAGGTATGTCATGAAAAAAAAATTCGGAAAGAAAGCAGATATTGGTGTAAAGAATGTCACACTGGCTTGTGCCCTGCCCCATGTTTCGGCATATATCACACCAAAGAATAATGGTATGTTGCTTTTCATTTTTGGATTATAAAATACTAATGAAAATATTTTATTTGCAGATATAGAATGTAAGCATATCAAATGTCATCGAAGAATGATTTCCCTTCAGTTACCATGAAAGATACTTTTGTTAGGTTTTTTTATAAATTCTATGTGCATGTATTTTTAAACGTAAATATACGCTTTCTTAAAATAGTTTGTATTATCAATGGCCACAACGTATATATACGCATCCTTGATCATGTAATGGATATGACGGATATGTTCGCATGTGGTAAAGAAGCTGGCCATCTGGGATGCGACTCTGAGATTTTATTCTGGTCACTTAAGAGGTTAAGGTGTTTCACTATGTGAGTAAAAACCCAAGATGACAAGTTTATTACACAATCTTTGGAAACACTAATAACTGACGAGCTGTCAAAGCCAAGGTACATTTTTGGTTAGAAAATACACCGGTAGGGGCATTACGCATCTTGAAAAGTGAGATTATGTCATTTTTTGACATAATATATGTCTTCTTGTGGCATTACATAGGTTTTTCTACAACATTTCTACCTAATTTAACTGTTGTTCACTTGATGTGCGCGCGATCTGTAGCTGTACGTACACGTGTTGCCTAAACGTTATGATGATTCAGCTATCGATGTTTAGCTCTGATCTGATGCAACATCTGCTTCAGAGGTGGCATTATTGTAAGTTTAAGCTGTAAGATTTATATTATAGCTGAAAGGTGACGGCAGTGCATAGGTACATAGTGAGGATTTGTGTGCTAATAATCTGTGCTGACGATAATTCGATTTATTTCTTGTCTCCAATACTTGAGGCGTATGCAAAGTTAGAAATTAGTTGCGCATCCATTTTTTCTTACCCTTCCTGGAAACTACAGATGCAAATTTGCTAAATTTCCAAAGTGAGAGAGATAAGAAGAGAAAATCACTGGTTGGTGAAGTATATTACAACTAACAGGTGAGAAAATAGGTTACAGACAAAAATATTTATGAAACGTCAAAATATACATATGTCATCACATTTTACATTATTTTGTATTTCCACTCATTTAAATTTTATATAAAATTATTTTGAGATGTCAGTAGAAAATACAAATCAGCGCCTAAATGGTAGAAGGTGATCGTGTGATGCATTATTTCTGATTTTTCTACGATGTGGCTTTATTACACGCAACGCGGAAGCGGTGGCGATTATCTCTAATGATTCTCAAAGCATTTGAAAACCCAAAAAAGTGGGGAAAATCGTAATTTATAACTTTGAGCGTAACTTCGTTTGAGGAAAAACAACACAAATAACCCGTCTGGTACAGCTAATAGAAATACTTTACGGTCAGCATATTCAGTAAGTATCACTGATTTTATACACATGCAGACCAATGCATACAATCATCCAGCTGCGATCTTGCTACTTTACCAATTTTCTTTGTGACACATCTTCGCGGAGATATACTCTACAGACTCTCCCGGTATTCTGCAACCAACAAAATATGCCGAGAACCGACTTGCAGGATGGTTATTGAGCGTGTCATTAAGTCACTCCTCCATAGATTATGCTATAGCTGACGCTCACAGCGCTCATAGCACTACAAACTAGCTAGTCAGCAAGTTGACTTAGATCACCTGTCTACTTGTTCCTCTCAAGTTTTACGTGTACAACAAAAGTATCGAAAATAAAGCTCAGCTCACCGTAAAGGCAACCCTTAGCAAGCCGGTGCAACCTGAAGTCAATACTACACTATAGATTTGGTTTAGATTTGTACTATCATCAGAAAGTTGTTCCAGATGATGTACAGGAGGGTATACGCATGTGCAACATCTTTAATATTAAGCTCCTTTAGGGGTTCCATATGTCAGCCGTCGGGACTCCTGGTGTCAGTGGTTTGCTAACGGTACATGTGATCCAGTATTGCAAATCTTAGCATCAGGCCTGTCATTGAATGTCGTGTTCGAGGAATGTCTTTTTGGAGACCATTTGAGGACATCTGGACACACCTATACCTAGCAAATACTTATACAGGGTGGCGCATCGGAAACGAAACAGACGCATTTACTGACAGCTCAGTTTTATTTTGGAAAAACACTCAGACCCATCGATTTTGTTTTCGAGGGGAACACAAGTTTGGCAAAAAATCACGTTAACACGTGCAGCCCCCTGGGCGGGGGTGACACCAACACTAAAATCTTAAATGGAAAGGGGGGTCGAGTGATACCTTATTTAAGAGGTCCTTGAATTCCCTTTATAATGATGTATACATGAGCTTCAGTTCAGTAGTTTTGAAGATTTATTGATTTAAAGCTTAAAGTAGACTTTAATAGGTACATCAGATTAGTTTGTACTACTTTCAGAAGAAATTTGACTAAAAGAATTTACTTAATAAGTAAATGCTCTTCTCCACAACGCCCATGGTTTGTTTATCATTTTGTTGTTGAAAATAGCTATTGGAGCGTTTTTTGTGGCAAAAAAGTTATTTCTTGAAGAAAGATAAGGAAATATCTCGTACTTATTTTAAATAGGGATTTAGTACATAGTTTGCGATTGATTTGACCAAACTTTGTTGCTAAAATAACTGGTAACGCTTTATTACATAAATTAACCATGGTATATTCCACAGCAGAAAGAGTTGAAATTATCGAAATGTTTTTCGGAAACAATTAGTGCGCTAATAGAACAGCAGAAATATTTAATGAGCGACATGAGCACAGTAACGTGCATCGAAAATATGTTCTAGAACGTGTAGCTAAATTTCGGTAAACTGGGTCAGTCGCCAATAAAAAACGTAACATTGAAAATCCCATAAGGAACGAAGCAATAGAAGTGGAGGTTTTAGGGCAAGTTTATGTAGATCTCACGTTAAGTACCCGCAAATCGGAGACTGTGTGTGGTGTTAGTCGACGTACTGTCCAACGGATTCTAAAGGCTCATAGTTTTCATCCGTATAAAATTCACCTGGTACAAGACCTTAATGAAGACGATTTTGATTGGCGATTACAATTTTGTGAAGAAATGAGTGAACGAATTATAAACGATGAACATTTTCTATTCAACACTTGCTTTTCCGACGAATGTTCCTTTTTCTTAAATGGCGTAGTAAATCGTCATAACTGCCGATACCGATCCGATTCTAATCCCAGAATTTATCATGAGGTTCGTACACAGCAGCCACAAAAATTTAATGTTTGGGCTGATATTTTTGGCGAACATTTAGTTGGTCCTTTTTTCTTACCTGGAAATTTGACAGGTGAAATGTATTTGGAATTACTGGAAGACACCATAGATCCTGCATTAACAGTCATAATTGAAAATCAGAATGATCGGCGGTACATTGCGAATAGGTTGATGTTGAAACAGGATGGTGCCCCACCACATTACGCATTACGTGTTCGACAATATTTAGATCAGACGTTTCCAGATCGATGGATTGGTAGAAGATGTGAATGGCCCCCAAGATTGCCAGATTTATCACCTTTGAATTTCTTTATGTGGGGTCATTTAAAAAGCAAACTCTATGCTACTCAGCCAACATCATTAGAAGTCCTGCGACAAAAGATTGTGAATGAGTGCGTTCAAATTACTCCTCAAATATTGCAAAATGTGCGGCAACGTTTTGAGCAAAATATTTTTTATTGCATGGAGAGTCATGTTCGCCATTTTCAACATTTACTTGCCTAACGGGTCAGTTCATTCTTCATTTTTTTAATTTCTTTGCTGCCAAATGTATTGATCTCCACTAATGATGATGTATTAGTTTTATTTAAGCTTTAAATCAATAAATCTTTAAAACTACTGAACTGAAGTACATTAATTTTATATCATTATAAAGGGAATTGAAGGACCTTTAAAATAAGGTATCACTTGACCCCCCTTTCCATTTAAGATTTTGGGGGTGGTGTCACCCCCGCTTAGGGGCCTGCATGTGCTAACGTGATTTGTTTCCAAACTTGTGTCCCCCTCAAAAACAAAATCGACGAGTCTGAGCGTTTTTAAAAAAAAAACTGAGCTGCCAGTAAATGCGTCTGTTTCGTTTTCGATGCGCCACCCTGTATATTGAATCGTACCTGTTTGATCTCCATAGCATAGTTCTTTTATGTAAAGCCAACAAACATTTCTATGCGGTTTCTATTAGGGATAAAAGTACAAGTCTACAAAAGATTTAAAATAATAAAATAATTCCAACAAAGTTAATATTTCATATAAGCCTAACACAGGCGAATGGAATAAGCAAAGTTCCGACCAAATTAATTTCGCTAGCAGTTTTTACTGAACTGCTCTCCAGAGTATTTTATAAAACAAGCACTTTGAATCTGAAACAAGTTTCCGAATAAGCGAACTTTTGTTTCTACTGCTTCTATTTACAGCAAAAAACATGCCGTACATTTCTCAGTATGGTATGTTTCATTCTAGGAAAACAAATAGTCCGTGGTCCAACTTATCGTTTTGTTGAATCAACATTGTTCTTAATTATGATATAGGAGCCTCGGTAGCTGGGTGGTCTTAGCGTCGAGCTAGCAACCCGGGGCTCGCGGGTTCGAATCTCCGCCACGGAAGTTAATTCTTGCCTATGTTGTGTTGTCTATGTCATGCAAGTTGTGCAATAACAACAGGTACATCTCATGAAGCTGGTTGATTATATCAGTTACCAGTAGCTGGCTCGTGGTCCTACGAGGTCAGCAAAATGGTTAAAGGTGGGCTAGTTCCAGGCTTCGCCTGTATACTACTAGTTAATGATATTATAAACAAGAGGAAATAGTGGTGTGATTCCTCATTCCGTTCTTTTTAATTAATTAATATGTTAAACAAGATATCAAAAAACACAATATATTAACTTCACGTATGTTCCACGATTGGTGTGCAGGTTTAAAAAAAAGGATATTATTCTAAACTGCCGCACAATAAAATTATTAAACGGTGATAATTAATCCTGCGAAACGTTTACCATGGTATACGTAGGCTTTACAAATATTTTAACATCTAAACTTAAACGTATCTGGATAGTGGTTTTCTTCCAGCCGCGGTTCTAGGTGCAGTCGAGACGTCCTCATTTTACAAACGCTCAAGTTAAAAACCAGTGGCCAGTAGTGAGCAGTGATGTGCGGAATGCCGCTTGCCTCGTTTCCAAAATTTATGGTACAAAAAAAGAAAGATTGCTTAAAAATCCACTGTCTATTCTCTGTCTGAGACAAAACTACTCATTAAAACACTCGAACTTGAAAAATGATGTATATGTTTGCAAGCCAAGCAAAGCAAAGGCAAAACAGGAAAATGTACTAAGATAATATAACCTCAGAAAGTTATCCCTTGTTCTAAAAAAAGTTATGGGAGCGCAAAAATCAAAATCATGGTCAATGTATGGAGTACTCTCAATGGAAGGTGCCATG